TTGTTGATTATTTCTTAATTTTAAGTTTGGCTTATGTTCTTTAGATGATACTTAGGCTTAAGGAAAGCTTAAGTTGTCTTAAAATTAAAAGATAAAGGAGTAAGGAATGATTAAAGACAAGAGGTTTATAAGTGAAATATTGGGAGAGAGTTAGAAAGTAAAGTTTGAGACTAAATTTGACTTGTCATCAGTTAAATTAAGACATATGAAGTGTTAAAAATGAAATTAGAACATGTTGTAAAATTAGTAAGATTCTTGATGTTAAGGCATATGATGAGATTTTGAAGATAATGATGTGTTATATGGGCATAAGATGAATTGAGTAAGTGTAGTTAAGTTTAATGGCATGAAAGGAGTTCAAAATGGAAAGTTTAAGTTGGTATTGGGAAATTTTGGGGTTAAAGGAGTGATTTCTGGGCAAGGAGTATCAATATTGTTTATCTAGTACCGATACTTCATAGAGAAAAATGTTATATTTGGGGTGAGGGTATCGACCAAAAGTGGATAAGTTATTCAAGGGGTATCGATACTTGAAGGGTAGTATCGAAACCCAGGGTATCGATACCATTAAGCGGGTATCGATGCCATTTTTGATATAGAATTCCAGAATCGGGAAAGGGTATCGATACCAAGGCATGGTATCGATACCACATCAAAGGAAGTATCGGTACCATTCCTTGGGTACCGATACTACTCAAAGAGAAAATTTAAAATAGGTACTTTGTTTAGCTTAGATTATTAATGATCGATTCATAAGGTTTAGAATTCTAATATTCATATCAAATGTTCATTGGTGTAGATATCGAATATAAGCAAGTTCCAAAGCAATTGAAGAGTTAAGATCGATCGATCGAGAGATAACGAGTTATTGGAGTTGATTGGACTAAGTAAGGCTAAGGCGAGTGCATACTATAGTATAGATGTTGCTTTATGGAAATAAGACTTATGATAAGTCTATTTCCTATATTTGATTTCATGGTTCCATAATTATGAACATACATATGTTATGATCATGATAAGTACATACATAATTTACATATGTTTTATATGTTATGATATATGATCCATGTGAAATTAAGAGAACAATATATAAGCTATAAGATATGAGATAAGTGATTATATGCACATATGATATCCGTTATGAGACAGAACATATGTGATTACATGAGAAACGATAAGAATATGTGAATACATGTATATGTGGTGAATTAGTTAACTATATGAAACATATAAATGTACAAGCCCATGTAATATGAGATGAGAGCTGTAGGTATAGTTGGCATGCCAAAAGTCGAGGATTCTATGTGGTTCTTTGGGACATATGTAATCCTTTAGAACATATATGCAATTCTTTTTGACACATATTTGGTCCTTTAGAATATATATGTGGTCCTTCAAGAGAATTATATGTGGTCTTTTGGGACATATATGTGGTCATTCGGGACATATATGAGGTCCTTAGGGACAATTTTATATGCCCTAGTAGGAATTTATACGAGCTGTGATGACATCATATGTGCACAATCTCAATGTACTCACATACCTTAGGTTCTCAGGAATGTATATGGGCACATAAAAGATATAAAAAGAATTTACTTCTTATAAGATGTTATGCTATTGTTTGTTAATGATTGATCATATATGTTATGGTTGAATAGTGATATGATGGTTATGATTGCATATGAAAAAATTGGGTTGTATGTTCATGATTTAGGAAATGCATTATCGTATTATATACCTCACTAAGTCTGTGACTTAGCGTGTGAGTGTTTCACACGTAGGTATCAAAAAGCAGGAAGATTAGAATTAGGTTTTGCAGAGACAACATACCTCCACCAGAAGATCAAATCAAAAGAAATTTACACAGTATGTATTTCGTTGTAATAAGTGTGTTGGCATGTAGACATAGTTGTGAATTACATATGCTCTGATCGATTTTGTAATATTTTGGTTATATTATGTAAATTAGTTAACTTTATTTTAATGAAAGTTTAAATCTTCATGATTTTTGTAAGAGTCAAGGTTTTGAAAAGTCAATGTGACACATCGGATTCGAATCCGGGTCGGGTACGGGTTGGGGGTGTTACATTCCACCTACAGTATGAAACTTGATAAGAGGTGGCTTGGGAACTGAATCAAACATTAAACAAAAAAATTAAAGTAAAAGAGAGAAGTGTTTACTTGGAGTAAAAGTAGATTCAGCGTCATCTTCATCGATGATAGATAATGCTTTTGCAATTGAAGATTCTTTCAACGTCACAGATTTCCCCAACCCGATTCTAAACATTGGGTATTTATCCACTCCTCTGTCATCGTTCTCAATAAGCTTCGAACATCCTGCGTACGATCTATGAAATTAGCAAGTACAAAATAAAAAATATAGCGGCGGAAAGATTCATAGATTATTACCTTGAAGTAGGAGATCAGACATGGAAGGGTATGGAGCAATAGGAGTTCCTTTCAGGTTATCATCGGGTTTCTACGGCAAGAACAGACCGAAAGCCTCCAAACTATAATTTGATTCGTCATCAGAGCAAATACGTCACGTGGACATTCCGGCGATAATGTTCAACTCTTAATTTAGCAACCTAGAAAAATCAATTCAAGGATAAAGAAAGACCAAAAAACAGAGGGCGTCACCGCCAAAAAAGACTTATCACTGCATGCGATAATGTAGCTGCCTGTGTAATATGTAAAATCATGTTTTTACATAAGAGGGTAACATTATTTCACTACCTCCAGAAACAGTTTTGGATCTTCTGCTATTGTTTCCAAATATCAACAATTCAAGCTACTGTTAACAAACAAATGTTATATATTAGTTAAAAGTAGTAAGCTCATTATCATTGTTAATTAGTCACATAAACAGAGATGTGGCGTCGAAAGAAAAACAACATGGTGTGGTGCCTACCACCGAAAGTAGCCAAGGTAAGATCACACTGTTAGCATTAGGAAAATTTGAAGCCCTCAATTCAAATACACTTACAGACTTTTGAATCAAAATAAATTAAACAAATCATGAACTCAAAAATCAAGACCAATCTTCAATGGAACACTAACAACATGGTTTTCGAAACATATGAAATTATGTGAAAAATTATGAGTTCCGAGTTTCCGTGATAAAATCTCAAAGATTAACAAAGAGAATGATATGTTAAGTATAAACAAATGAAGAAGACATGTTATAAGATTAACTCACAACTTTTTCTTCAAGACCATACCTTAGCTTCATTATGATAATGTCTGCAATCAAAGATCTCGATGTGACATGTGAGCACCTAATCAAAGCAAAATATCTCTCAAATGATCAAATATAAGAAATGAAATGAATCCAAAACCGGACCATGAACAACTGAAAAGCAAAGAAATTGAGAGATACCCAGAGTTCTCTGATCCAATTGCCATCAAATTAGCACTTTGATTTCCAAATTCCAATCCCTTTTCTATCATCCACCTCCCACCTTCAATCTCAACTCCCAAAAGATAAAAAGATGCAGCAATTGAGATATTATCAGTGCATTTGATCATTAAGTAGCCACTACAATTAGAAAATATCGTCCTTGAGGGAAATTCTTGAAATGCGTAATCATTACTGCCACAATCATAACCCACACATTTCATAAACCTAAATCAATAATCAATTTGATATTTACAATTCAAAAAAGAGAGTCCAATGGTAATTTGGTGCGAAAGAAAAGTAATAATAGAAGATGAAAGACTAAGAGATAAATCTTACATGTAGTGTCTGTTGTAAGAATAAGAAGAAGAATTGGAGGTATCAATGATCAAATTATGGTTTTGTTCATCTCTACTGGCTTCCGTGGAGAATTGAAACTCAACCCATAATTAGTACAAATTAAATAAGGAAAGTATAAAAATTATCGGCCACCGATTGTCAGCCGTAGAGACAAAGCTGCATCGATGAACGGTGTTTCGAGGTGGCATGGAGCCTTCACGGGTTTCACGGCCACGTGGGGTTTTGGTCTCTAAGGGAGAGGCGACCGTGTAGAGAACGAGGAGGGGAGAGCTTAAACAAAAAGGGTTTTAAATTTTTAGGGTTTTCTAAACTTTTTACGTGAAATAAAAATCAAATAAGGTTATACTTGTAATTTGTGGTGTTTTTAAAACCAAATGCCACAAACATACCAAATTATTGCGGTGTTTGTAAAAAAACGACGCTAAAGTAATACTCCGTTGCGGCTTTTTTGAAAAATGCACTGTAGATGAACCCTATTACGGCGTTTGTTAAAAGCGCCTCTAAAGTACTACTCTATTGCGACATATGTTTTGGAAAAACTCCACTATAGATGAATCCTATTGCTGGATTTGTATAAAAACGCCGCTAAAGTACTACTCTATTGTGGCGTTTGTTTGTATAAAAACGCAGCTAAAGTATTACTCTGTTGCGGCGTTTGTTGAAAAACGCCACTATAGATGAATCCTATTGCGGCATTTGTATAAAAACGCCGCTAAAGTTACCATTTTGTGGCATTTGGAATGTAAACGCTGCTATATGTTTAAAGTTAGTGTCGTTTACTCTCAAAACGCCGCAAAAAACGCCGTTGTAAAACAGTTCTATTGTAGTAATTATTTCTAATATGTAGAGATAATTACAATATCATATCAAGTCGGGGTTTTTTTTATCCTAAACCCGACTTGAAGATGGGCCTTGCCCATTATTTAAATGGTGTAACTTAAGTTTAGCCCTTCTTAAACATAAAAAAAGTGAATTTCAACCTTTTTAGCCTTTAGATAAATTGAAAATTTGTATACATGGTTTTTTTCTAATTTCATCCCCGCCCCGGACACAAGTCCTGTCACCTTACCGTATGCTTAAGAAAAATGAGCTGCATAAAAGTTGGCCTTGGGATTGAAAGTACAAATTAAAAAAAAAGTCAAAGTGGAGGGATTAAATCCATAAAAAAACACAATAATGGGGCTTTCTGTACAAATTATGTGATTAAAATCTATTAACCCAAGTTATGATTCTCTTGGTGCAGCATTTTTATTTAGGGAGTTAACTCGAAATGACTTGAGAATTACAAGGCAAGTGAAATTTAGGTTGGTGGTGCTTCGGATTCCATTGTTTTGCAATGCTAGCAATGGGCATGCCTTTCCTATTTTGTCGAGTTTTGAAAAGGAGGGGATTCAGAGAATAATGAACCAAGTAATATCCAGTTTCCCCGTAAATGATCAACAAGTTTTACTCGCCGGCCGGCTCGAAAACTAAGCCGCCTCTGTCTCCGACTGGCCTAATCTCGCATTAGTTTACGATCGGTGGTGCCAATGACCTCGAGAATCGATTGCATAAACGCCGAGGACGGGCACCATTAGTGAAACTGCATCATCATCTTTGTTTCGGAAAAGTTTGAAAGGGTCGAAATAGGATGAATTCTGTTGTAGCTTTTGTGCATAACTGCATTCTAAATTCTAAAAAGATCTCTAAACAAAACATACTTAGTATTAGAACTCCACCTATATAATATGTTTTCACCGTCAATGTAAGGAGTAATAACCCTTGTACTTCATTGCAAATATCAAATTTAATAGTCTTACTTTAATACTTTTATCTTTTATTAAGAGTATGTTTGGATATCATAATATAATTGTATGGAAATGAGATATTAGTTGGTTTAGTAAAATGAGACATTCCCTCAAGTAATATTAGTGATTCAAGTTTTAATATTGAATAAAATAAACTTAGGAAGATTGCTCATATAATAAATCTCTACAATATTTAATTCATATTAACCACTTAATAAATTAGATATTAATGGTTAAAAATATAATTAAAATTCATATATATTCTCTAAACATACACAATTAAATAAAGTATATAAATAGTCCCCGAATTTTAGAGCGATTACATTTTGGTCACTCAACTTTTGAAACCTGCAATATCGTCTTCGAACTTTTAGTTCGTTTTCATTTTGATCCCGACGTTACCTCTCGTTAATGTTTGCTGATGTGGCACTTATCACCCTCCTCCTCCTCCTCCTCCTCCTCTCACAAAATATTAAACAAACTGAATCGTAGGAAGAACCGGCAAAAGAAACCCTCATGGATCTTCACTCCATTACCTCCTCAACGCTTATTCTCTATCTCATTGTCTCATCAGTTAACTCAAAAGGCTAAGCTCGACGAAATCTTGAGCTTTCATGTTTGTTTGAACCTGGCCCCTGTGTTCGGCTATAATTCGGCTGACAAAGCGATTGACTTTAGGTACGAGGTTGGAGCATCCGACTCTGATTGAGGGTCAAAATTTGCTAGCCAAGGAAGATGGTCGGACCAATTAAATGTGCCCAGTAAATGGTAGCCTTCATCGACAAGAGCTCGGAGTTGTTCAACTTCATCATTGATGGTATCCAACTTATATTTTTGTCCGAATATCGAAACCATCATGTTGTTTAAAGAAGCTTGTTTGAGCACTTGGCGTACTCTGAAGCTTTTGTTATTGCGAGCGAATAAAATGAGCATTTCAGAGGCAATAAAGCGTCTCTGCTCCTCTGCACCTTTTATTTGCTTAGGGCAGAAAAGGTGGGTTGCGGCGATTCTTCTCAGGGTTCGCTAGTAAACTCCGTAAGGAGCGAACCCGATTGCTCTATCAAACATCGAGCTATAAGCCGACTCTTTCACCGGACGTTCAACAAATACAGAACTGTAAAGAATCTCGCGTGCTACATCCAAATTGCAGGTGACGATAACTCGAGTATCACCTAGGCCAAAAGCCATGAGCCTCTTGGCTTCCCATGTCTCTGCAGCGGATGCGATCAGGTGATGAGCGAGGAAGCTAGCCATAATTAAGGTTCATGTTGCTGCTTCTTCCCACGCAGAAAACGTGAAAGTGAAAGAAACCCAGAAAAAGAGAGTTGAGTGTAACCTTTTGAGTTAACTGATGAGACAATGAGATAGAGAATAAGCGTTGAGGAGGTAATGGAGTGAAGATCCATGAGGGTTTCTTTTTATGCTGCTCCTTCCTACGATTCAGTTTGTTTAATATTTTGTGTGAGGAGGAGGAGGACCTGTCATTTCAAAAAGTTAATGGTGTTAAGTGTTACTCCAGCAAAATTTAATGGAGGTAAAGTTTAGATCAAAATGAAAACGAACTAAAAGTTTGATAATTATTTTGTAAGTTTTAAAAGTTGGATGACCAAAGTGTAAGCGTCCTAAAAATTTAAAGATTATTTGTATATTTTACCCTTAAATAAATTTTAAAATAAAAGTTTATGTTAAAAAATAAAAACAACTTTTTAATACAATAAATTTATTATAAATAAAAAATATGATATACTATAATCGAAATTATTAAATCTTAAAATTGATATTATTAGATTACAAATTTGATGACTAATAATATTTACATTTTCAATTTAAATATTAGCACTTGTTACACATACATTATTAGTTCCCTCATAAAGGCAAGGAATATAAAATTCAATTTTTCCTTCAATTTCAATTTCAAGAACGACTCTACCCGACGGCGTCTCTTTCTCTCTCTACTTTTCTTTCAATCTTTGTTTTAGATTCTTCAATTATCCCCCGATTCTATTGAAAACCCATCGCCGATCTCTGCTGAGCCGCCGATTTATCTTTCCGATCTTAAACGTTGCATCGGAGAGAACTCCGGAGAGGAACGGCGAAGCAAAATTGGCGGTTATTTGTCAGGGTAGAAAGGAAAAAAAAGAATGTCGGCCGAACAGAAAGAACAGGAACCTAACCCTAGCCCTAATGGCAACGATAACGATCATTTGAACTCTGAAAGTGAACAGGAAGAAAGAGAAGAAGAACGAGAACAAGAACAGGCTCCACGTCAGTCGTCGACAAGAACACCTTTCACTAATCTCAGTCAGGTTGATGCTGACATGGCTCTTGCTCGAACCCTACAAGAACAGGTAAAATTTTCAGTTTTTTTGTTTTTTGTAGTTCGAAAATTGTTCTTTTTTGTATGCTTATTTGTAAAATTATTTTCCTTTTTAATTGTAGGAAAGGGCGTATATGATGCTTAGGATGAATAATGATGGGAGTGATTATGGGAGTTGGGAGACTGGAAGCTATTTACATGATGAAGATGATGATTTTGAGGATCCCAATGATCATGACATTAATGATGATGAAGATGACGGTGGGAAGGAGGACGAGGAAGAGGATGAAGGGGAATATGATGGCACTGATGCCGACGATGATGGGGATGCATTTGACGTGCATGCTGACGCTAGTGCAGAACTCGACCCAGCTGCTTTTTCGAGTGATGAGGCTTATGCTAGAGCGCTTCAGGATGCCGAAGAAAGAGATATGGCTGCTAGATTGTTGGCCTTAGCTGGGATAAATGATAGTGAGTGTTTACTACTATGTGATACTTGTTAGTCGCTTTGAGTTTATGCCAATGTTAGCATTTACTGAAGTTTTACCAATTTGCAGGAGGAATTTTTACCTTAGAGGATCATGGAGGTAACTCTCAGGTGAGAATTATTGTAAATATGAGTTATAAGCTTTAATTTCCATGCTTATGTTGGAATCTCTATGTTCCAATCAGATAAATTGTTTGCATTCATAGGGTATAAATGTTTCGATTGAGTGCCCTTGATGTTGATTTCTTTGCTTGTATACCGCTTTGGCTGACTTCTTATCTTGGAACTTTGATTGGCAGTTTTCACTTTTAATATGAATGGTTTAAGTTTATCTGAATTTTGCTCTCCATTTAGAATATTATGGGTCTAGGTTTTTCTTTCTGGACACATTTTTTTCGGAGTATGTTAATCAGGAATATGTTAATAGTTTTTCTTTTGAATCTGATCATGGAACTTTTTGTTTGTATTTAGCTCATAACTTCAGATGTGCTTGTAAATACTTAGATGACCATCTATTGTTATTTTTCATTCATTCCTACATGCATGTGTTGCGACAATTGATCAAGGAATGTGGCCGAGAGAGAGGGGGGTTTGGGAATTGGCAATTAAAAATTTGGTGGAAGTGTTGCAAGAATTGGAAAATATACACAGGTATTTAGTGAAATCATAACACTTGAAAAACATTTTTGACAATATTTTACTTAAGAAAATTATTTTAAATCTGATTTTGATATTTTAATTTTTTAATATAAGTTTGTAAATTTTACAATATATAAGAGTTTAATAATACTTGTTATATCAAAATCAAATATAAAGTTAGCAGCATGCAACTATGCAAGGTTGACAGTTGACACTGCAATAATATGTTAGGAAGCATTTGGGATTCTCACTTCCTTGGTTCCAAAGACATTCTTGGAAAATTTTGGATCCATAGTAATGTGTTTAGTTGTAGTTAACGGAATGGTTGTCTATCCATGCATGGTAAGCTTAGATTTCTCATAAGAGATTTTACTGGAATGGTTCTGGAGCTAAAACCTTAGCAAGTTTTTTCAATCTGATGCCTGAGATGGATACATTTCAGTGTCATCATTGAATCACAATGGCCATTTAATTATCTTCTTTTATTAGGTAAAAATGCACATTGGTAATATTAGCACTTGATTTGCTCTACTTGGCCAATTCATATCTTCAGCTATGAAAATGTATATTTACTGATTTGGTTGTCACATTTACATTTGTAATAAGAAAGGGTTCCACAAATGACTATACCCTCTATTTTCTGTCTGAGGCAGAGGTCTCTCCCTCCATACTCCTGGTTGATAATATTTTGTCTGGTTCTGTTTTAGGGTTCTACATGTAATGGTTAATTCTTTTACATTTAGGACTATCATATTGGGAATGAAGGGTGATATATTGAAAGAAACAGTCTGCAACTCTGCATAGAGTATTTGTAACGGTCAACCTTTGTTTGTAATAACAGTGCCGGAAGTAATAACTTGTTTGAAAGGTAAGGATCATATTGTGAATGGTTCAGAAATTGAGGTTGTTGCATGCTATAGTTTGTTAACGTTATTCTCTTAGAACCCCACTGTTAGATTATATATTTATTTGTTGTCCATAGTCATTGTAATTTATTGAGTTGATTGGAGAAGAGAAGCCATTCCTTATTTACACTGCTTTATTGAGTTTTGACTATGAGTTGATTGGAGATTATATATTTACCTTGGGATTTGGCCTCTGTATAGAATGAGATTTGTTGATGCAACGATGAGGTTGTGGTTGTTTAGGACGGTTCACCTAGAGGGCCGAAAGCCTTACAGTGGTTTTCGA